ACCGCGGGCTCCCGGTACCTCAGGCACCGGACACCGCGGGCTCCCGGTACCTCAGGCACCGGACACCGCGGGCTCCGGACACCGCGGGCTCCCGGCCGCGCTCGTACCATCAGCGGCTGCGGCGGCGGCGGCCATGATGATTGTGTACAATCCGCCGCGGGGCACGCCGGGAAACGCTGCCGCCGCTGCTAATGGACCACGCCGGCTCCCGTAGCCGCCCCCGCCCGCCCCTCAGCGCGGGGGCGGTGCGGACCCCCAGACCGCGCCCCCGCAGCTCCGGCTGCACCGCGCCGGGAGGCGGGAGGGGCGCCGGGCCCTCCCCTCAGCGGCGCGAGTACCGGGAGCCCCTCTCGCTGTTGAGCCCGTGGCAGCAGCCACGGTCCCCTCGCAGGACCGGAGGAGGCTGGCGGCGGCGACTTTAAGGGACGCCCCGCCCCCGGGCGCGGCTCGCGCGCTGATTGGCTGCCGCGGCCGGGCGGAAGCGGCGCCGCGGCCACGTGGGCGCGTGGCGGGATGGCGCGAGCTCTGCGCGTGCTGCGCGGCGCGGCGGGATCGGGATCGGGATCGGGATCGGGATCGGGATCGGGATCGGGATCGGGATCGGGATCGGGACTGGGATCTGGCCTCGGCCCCGGACCACGCGTCCGGTTCGGACCCAGCCCCACAGGTAACCGGTCCCTCGCCAGCCCCGCCCCTGCCCACCCCCTGGGGCTCCGTTGCGGCGAGGGCGGGGCTTTGGGTTGGAAAACATCAATTGGGACTCTCGAGAGGAACGTGCGGGGAATGTGTCTGCTGGCTCTCCGGAGAGCCGAGGGGTCTGTGCTCCTGCCGCAGCTCCGGGGCTTGCTCTGCCAGCGTGTGCCAGTGCCTTCCCGGTCGTGCGGGATCATTGTTGGCGTACCGTGGCAGTGCTGTTCCTGGCATGTGCCAGCATATACGGGATTTTCAGGTCATTTCAGGCAATCCGTTCCTGGAAGTAGTCATCCATAAGTTATTTTCGTAGCCAGTGTCCCCGGAGCTGTGTCCGTGCCGTGCAACTCCCACCCCGGTGACGCTGCTATCGCAGGCAGCATCCTTMGCTCTTCCAGTTTATATTTAGAACTCTCCACGGGCCTTCTTTGTGACAGCCTCTTCTGATTTCCCACGATTACAGGTTTTCTGCATTTGGGTGGCCTTAGGACWGCTTTGTACAATTACATCTTTGCCAAAAAACACCAAGGGACCTTTATTTTAAGAGTGGAGGATACAGATCAGAATCGCGTGGTGCCTGGAGCTGCAGAAGGAATAGAAGATATGTTAGACTGGGCAGGTATTTAGAAACATCTTTCACTTTTCGCCTGCTGAACCTTCCCTTTGTTTCAGAGGTTGAGAGTACTCATCTTGAGGGTGGGTTTTACTGTGCCTTTGTAAGGGCTGTTGTGACAGCCCAGCTGTTGCTGTTGGATGTTCCAGGTATTCCCCCCGATGAGAGCCCYGGCCGCGGCGGCCCCGCCGGGCCCTACGTGCAGTCGCTGAGGCTGGAGCTGTACCGCCGAGCCAGCRCGGCGCTGCTGGACAGCGGGGCTGCCTATCGCTGCTTCTGCAGCCCGCAGCGCCTGGAGCTGCTCCGCAGGGAGGCTCTGCGCAGCCAGCAGACCCCGCGGTACGATCCCTGTCCCCTGGTGGGTCCCTTGGGGCTGCGTGCTTGCAGAAAGTCACGCAACAATGGGACTGTGCCTTGCTCTTCCTGTGTCACCCTCCTGAGATGAGGTGTTTGACCAGACGCACACTGGGCAGGTTGCAGCTAAAAYTGAGGCATCTGCTTAGAGTTTTGGGAATGTAAAATGGCTGATGGTGTTGGCCTGTGTGGAGTGAAAACCTTCATTCTCATCTCCCAAAGATATGACAACCGGTGTCGGCACCTGACGTCCGCAGACGTGGCCCAGAAGCTGTCACAGGGCCTTGACTTTGTCATCCGCTTCCGGCTGGAGAAGGGRGTGGAACCCTTCCAGGACCTGGTCTATGGCTGGAACAAACATGAGGTGGCTGAGGTGGAAGGTGACCCTGTGCTTCTCAAGGGGGATGGCTTCCCCACATACCACCTGGCAAATGTGGTAGATGACCACTACATGGGCATCACCCACGTCCTGCGTGGGACCGAGTGGCTGGCTTCAACTTCCAAGCACYTGCTTCTCTACAAAGCCTTTGGCTGGCAGCCCCCTCAGTTTGGCCACCTTCCACTGCTGCTGAACAAGGATGGTGGGAAGCTGTCCAAGCGGCAGGGGGACATCTTCCTGGAGCGCTTTGCTCAGGATGGCTTCCTGCCAGAGGCACTGCTGGACATTGTCACCAACTGTGGTTCGGGGTTCACAGGTAACACCACAAGCTCCTGCCTGCCACTTTGTGCTGACTTTGTGACATGGGTTGGGTTTATTTTAATAACTGAGAACTTCATCAGTGTTTGAAGGGKTCAGGAAATGGGTGTCAAGTGACCAGTCAGTCATTGAGGTGCCACCAGGGCTTCTGCAGAGCTACTGTGAAAGGAACTGGAATGGGGGAAATTCTGCCTTTGGCTGCTGTGCAGCCATTAAAATTGAGTCTGGTGCTTAATGGGGTTCCCCTTGGGAAAAACCTTGGGTTCCCCCTTGGGAAAAACCTCACTTCGATGTTGAGAAACTGTCTGTGAACTCTGGGGAAAACTTGCATTCCGTGGTTAATAATTACAGTGTTGTCTGACACCTGTGCCACTTCTTGTTTAACCTGACAGACCACGAGGAGCTGAGTCAATGGCTCCTTTTGTGGTTCTTGCTGTRTGGGGATCACAAATTAACTTGTACTCTGAGAACTCTGCTTGGAAAGGAAATCTTCCTTGGGCAGTGAAGCGTCCTGGCTGAGTGTTACTGCTCTTTGGCTGGCTGAGGTGGAGGTGTTGCTCTGAGGAAGGTGACAGAGCCAAGTGCAGTGTCCCAGTTCCCAGAGCGTCACCAGAAGAGCGGGCTCCTGGGGAGARGGCAGCATCCTGTGTGTGCCAGTTCCCTCCTGCCTGCTGGGGGACACGCCTGCTGCTGCTGGCACTGCACAGGTTGTCCTGTGTCACCTTTCCTCAGCGTGCTGCYGGCCCAGCCCCATGCACAGTGAGGAGAGCAATGGTTGTTCAGTGTGGGAACACAGACCCCTGTGATTGCCTTTGGGTTGTGTTGCAGAGAAGCAGATGGGGAGGACTTTGGAGGAGCTGATCTCCCAGTTTGAAGTGCACAGAATTACAACCCATTCTGCTCTCCTGGACCTTGAAGCTCTCCCAGAATTTAACAGGTAAAAAATTAGTGGTAGCTTTAAAATGTGGTTAGCACCATGTCAGTGAGAATTTATTCCTAGCACTTGGAGGTTTTGTTTGTTGGATCAGGCATGGTCCTGGTGCGGCAGCTTTTGGGCTGTCCTAAGAGGAAACATAAATTTCTGCTCACACTGGTCCTGCCTCCTCTCCTATCCTGTGCTTAGGAACACTGAAAGTCTAGACAGAGGATGTGTATATCTGGGAGGATCCAAAGTCTTAAGTTTAGTTTGAAAATAGCATCTAAAAAGAATTAACGCTTTCTGGAAGGTTCTCTTGCGAGTACACTTGTGCTGCTAGGATGTTGTGCTGCTAAGAGTGGCCTCATCATCAGTTCACTGTGGGGCACCAGAGGTAAATGCTTCAATTAGCATGTCTGACTGTAATTTAGTGTTGCTTTTCTAACTGTTCCACAATTTTAGCTCAGTTGGTCAGAGCATGGTGCTCATAATGCCAAGGTCRTGAGTCCCCAGATGGGCCATTCACTTAAGAATTGGATTTGAAGTTCCTTGTGAGTCCCTTCCAATTCAGAATATTCTGTGATTTCTATGAAATGTGGTTGGGGTGATTSGATCCAATGTAACCCAGAGCAATCCCAAAGCAGGTCTTTTCTCTGTTACAGGCTTCACCTCACCCGTCACATTGAGAACCAAGGGCTGCGCCAGAGGCTCATTAGGGAGCTGCAGGGGCTGGTGGAGCTCGTCTATGGGGATCAGCAAGTGGATCCAGATGTTCTGGAAAAGGAATATGTGGAGCGAGTCCTCCTGCTGAGAAAAGTACGAGCAGTGGTAGAGCACTGTGTCAGCATTGTGGAGCTGGGAGCTGAGGTGGTGTGGGATTCCTGGATGGAGACTCGGCTGAGCCCTGGGCTGTCTTCTGAGCTCTGCAGTGGCACAGCCTGCACACAGTTGTCATGGTGGTGCTGTGTGCCTGCCAGCTGCCAAAATCCCCTGCTACAGGCAGCTGAGCCCTGGGAATGGGCCTGGTGAATGTCCTGGTGGTCTTTGCAGAGTATTAAACTCATCCGTACTTTGCTGAGCCAGCATGGAGCTCCCTCAGCAGAGGGACCATGTGTCCCTACCATGGAAGTGATCATAGAATTGTAGGATGTTTTTGGAAAACCCTTCTGCTTCCCTCTCAAAACAGAACTAGGTGTAGTATTGGATCAGATCAGCTGCAGCTTTGTCTAGATGAGCTGATAACCTGCAAAGAGCCCTTCTCCTGTAGACCAGGGAGTGGCTGGCTTGGGGCAGGAAGGTCCAGCCCCCACATCCCTTGTGACAGCATGCAGGTCCCTTGTGCCAGCAGACCTCTCACCTCTCCCCTTTGCTGACAGGGCAGTATAAGGTGCTTCTGCTTTGCTGCTGCCCTGTACCTCGGATGCAAAGTCCAAGCAGCCTCTACCAAGAGGGATGAAGCTCCTGGTGAAATCCATGGGGTTTGTGTGTTGGGTTCAGTGAAGGGGCCGAGCACTGGCAGGGGAGGGTGACCCCAGCTGTTCTCAGTCTGCTCCTGGGATGCTGCAGGAGTATCTGGGAGATTCTTTGTAAAGGATAAAGCCCTCMTTGTAGGGGCAGGAAGGGACCCAGSRTGAAGGCCGCACATGGCAACAGGACGGTGACTCATGTGGCTTCGCACTGCCTCCTGAAGGGCAGCCACTTCCCCARCCAGCTCCGAGTCAGCCACACGTGGCTCAGCACCTTGGGGACAGCCAATGCTGTCTGAGCTGCCTCTGTGTCCCTGCTCACTCTGTGGGGCTCTGGGGGTGAGCCCAGCTGCCTCACTGTCAGCRAGTCACGTTCCCTCCAAGCAGCGTGAGGCACTGCTGTGAAGCTGTGAACACTGGTGTGAAGCCCAAGCTGGATGGAATTGCTTCCTCCACATCACAGCCCTYTGACCTGCCAGCTTTGCTTTCTTTCCCTAGGGTCACATAAGCCTCCTGAAGAATCTGGTGTCGAGTGATTACTCTTACCTGTGGGTTAGGCCCTCGGTGTCCCGGCAGCAGCTACAAACAATTTCTGCAGAAGCAGATGAAATAGGAAAACTAGTCTTAGGGTAAGTGTGCTGCTGTCTCAGCTGAGTAGTGAGCAGTGGCTCCTCATTTCTGAGAATTGTATTCCTAARAAAGCAGTCAGAATTACTGCTTTTCTTGTGGTTTTCCAGGTCTGCCACATAATTTTATGGTTTAAACTTGCTCCTTTGAAGGAGCTCTGCATCTGGTGAGCAGAGGGAGCAGCCTGGCCCAGGGTAGGGGTGAGAGGTAGGAATCCCGTGATTTTCATGTCCCCAGACTGTAAGGACATCTTCTTTCCTGAAGGCTCATGACAAGGCAGGCAGGTGCCTTGACTGTGGAGGAGTTGAACAAAGACCTGAGGAGTCTCCAGAAGCAAACCAGAGAAACCAAGTACAGCAGCATGATGCAGCTCCTCCGCTTGGCGCTCAGCGGGCTGCAGGTAAAAAGAACAGTTCTGAGATGTGCAATCTGCTTTCACAGGGCTCAAATCCAAGTTTTACAAAAGTTCTCCAAAACCTAATCATGGTTCAACTCTGGCWCTAATCCTTCAGGTCCATCTGAGCAGGGCTGGAATTTCCCTTCAGGAGGAGAAACCACTGAGCCTTTGTTTGGGCTGCTAATGACCTTTCCCTCTACCACCCCAGTCTGGCAGCGATCTGTCACCATGATGCACAAACACATGCTGGGAAGTTTCAGTTCCCCTGTGCTCARTGACTCCCTCTGTGTTTGCAGCACGGCCCGAGCGTTGCCGAGATGATGGTGACTTTGGGAGCCAAGGAGGTGTGYGGCCGGATACGCAGAGCACTGTCCAGCTGACACGGGACATTGGAGATGCTGCTGGGCTGCGCATTCAGATGGCATGGGCGGGATCATCTCTGATCAGATGAGCTGGGCTTTAGGCCAGGCAGGTGCCTGTGCTGTTCCAGTGTCTATATGAACCTGCACAAACCACTGCATCTGGGAGAGGAACCAAACCCAGATGCAACTCGGTCCTGYTGTCACCTCGTGCAAGGAGCCCGGTTTGCAGAGTGGGAGAAAAAGACTCATTCAAATTCAGACCATGTGGACAGGAAGTAACTGAATTTCTGATAGCAAAGATCAGATTCTTTTTGGAGAGGGCCTCGCAGACAGGGTACCTACAGCTGCACAACACAATTCCCCAATAAATACTGTGAAGGTTATATATATATTTATATGTGTATATAAATTAAAAAAAAAAAAAAAACAAACAGATATAGCTGCTGCCCTCTTAGCTGCCTTGGTGTCCTACCAGGCTGAGTGAGCTGCTCGGAGAGGGGAACTCCCTGTGTACTGTAGCACGTGGTTCTGCTAAAAATATCCCTGGTCAGGAGATTGGGATGTTTTTTCTTCTTCTGTCTGATGCCCTTTTAATCATTAAATTAACGTGGTGACTTTGATTCCGTTCTCACGAATACTGCACGCCGGTAAGGGGAGGAGCCGCGGAGGGGTGTTGGTGAGGTGTTCTGCTGAGCCCAGCCCGCAGTGAACACATCCAAGCCACCAAAACTCACGTGGGCTCCCCACGGGGCGTGCAGGGAGCGGGGCGGTGGATGCGCTTCCTGCTGGGGCGGGGCGGACCGGAGCCCATGGCTGGCACCGCGGAGCTGGAGCGGTGGCTCAGTGAGTGGGGCTGGGGGTCGGGACTGGCTTGGCTGCTGCCTCYGCTGTCACTTCCCAACTGTAGGGGCACTGGAGCAGCTTCATCTCCGTGGGGAAGCCCCATTGCCCTTACAGAACCCTTGCAGAGTGATGTGGGTGCTTTCTTGCTGCATCTGTCCTGTTCCCCATCTGTCCTGCTCCCCATTTGTCCTGCTCCCCATCTGTCCTGTCCATCCTCGGCCCCCCAAACCTGGCTGATGGACAGACTTGGGAGTGGATAAAGCTAAAAAAAACTGTTTTTTCCTCAGTTTAGCTGCGTAGAAGTGTAAACTGCCTATGCTCCAGCGCAACAAGTTTTGCAGAACGGTCCCGGGAGAGCTGCCTGTAAATGGTTTTTGGGTTTCTGGTGCTAAAAGCAACATCTGCTTTTGTCAGGCTGTGCTTAACTTATAAGTGTGTGCTTGGGACTGTATTTTTAGGCAGATTTTAGTAACAGCTGTTTCCTGCTTCTCCTGGATCTCCCCTTTCTGCTACAGAAAGCCCTGGAGCGGCAGCACCAGTGAGGTCTGGGCTGCTTCCTGCCCTGAGCGCTTGCTCGCACTGAGGCCAGGCTTTCCCTCTCCCTCTCTTGTTTTTCTCCTCTATAAGATAAGGCCACAGACCCGAGTATCCCCGGGGAAAACTGGGAATGCATCCAGCAGTTCTGCAACCAGGTGAACGCCGACAGCGAGGGGTAAGGCAGACACACGGCTCTTTGTGTTCTCCCAGGCTGTGTGTGGCTCTGAGCTTCCCTGATGGCTCTGTGGGAATGGGAATGGGGCTGGAGAGGGAGCCGAGGGGGCTCGCTGGGCTACGCTGCTGGATTTCCTGGGAGTGAAAATGAGTTGGAAATGGCTGTATGTCAGTGTRATGGTGGGTGATGGCGGGGAATGGGCTCTAATATCAGTTGCTGGAGCCCACCAGGCAGCAGGTGCTGGTGGCTGTGCTCTCAGTCCCTCATGAATCTGGCCGAGGATTCCTGCTATGGGGTTCTTCAGGGAAGCCCAGAGGAACTCAGCCTCAGCTTTCCCTTCCAGACACGTGGAGGATCTCTACTGAGACTKGCCCACCTTCCAKCTGACAGACTGGGCTGTGTGGGAARTAGCAGGGACTAATTAAGCAAATGACCTGTCAAACCTTACTGATCATCTCTGTGTTTAGAGCAGACCGAGTTCAGAGCTCATAGTCTGGCACCCAGCTGGTGCCCAGGAGCTGGCATTGGCTGTCATCGAAGCTCCTGCAGCTGCAGAGAGWCAGCTCTCATGGTGCCTGCCCAGGGACATCCCCCAGCCTGTCCCTGCTGCTCCTTCCCAAAGGACAGCCCCTGAGCATGCCTGGAGGGCAGAGTGGGATCACAAATTCACCCCCTGTGCGTGTGCACGTRTCCATGGCCGAGGGGTATCTGTCCTGTTGTGAATCCAGCAGTTGCTCATCTCTGTGGATCGAAACCAGCTGCATTTGTTTTTGGAGGGAACTTGTGCATGTTGTGACTCGCTTTGCTCTTCCCCAGCCCGTTGTTTGCGCTGAGGCTGCTGGCACACAAAATCCAGTCCCCTCAGGAGGGGGAAGCTCTCCATGCWCTCACAGTAAGTACTTCCATCCTCACGGAGTCACTTGGAAAGAGAGTTTGGTGGGTAGAACAGCAGAGCAGACAGGACAGCTCTCTCTTCCTTTTCTCTTAGATGTCTCTCTCTCTCTTGGATGCCTCTCCCTTTTAACTTTCCCTTGCACAAGGAATACAGAAACCTGGGCACAGTGGAGGGAGTAACTGCTTCTGTTCTCTCCACATGGCTCTGTTGAGGTGTTTTGTTGGTCTTCAGCTCTGTCTGTGTGAGGTGTGTCCTACAACCAACTTTTGTAGCTCAAAAGTTGTTAGTTATGGGTAGAACAGAGCAGGTTGTCTTAAATGTGCTGCTTAGAAAGTTTGGATAAAGGAATAAAGCACGTTCTTGCTGCATGACTTTGTCAGTATCTTGCATTGGTAAATGCAGTGCCAGAAAGTTCTTAGATTTAGTGAGTATTATATATTATAATGGCAAAGTTTTTGAAAGCTCTCCAAGCTTTGTGTGTTCAGTTCCTGTTGGTAACATTTTGTTTTCTGCAGGTGCTGGAGACCTGTGTGAACAACTGTGGTGACAGATTTCACAGTGAAATGGCAAAATTCAGGTTTCTGAATGAGCTGATWAAAGTGCTTTCCCCAAAGGTAGGTGAAGGTGGTTACAGGGTGTTTCAGGATAAGAAATGCAGCTCTGCTTTATCAGAGGCAGTGGGATCTTCTGGCCATGCTCCTCTTTGAGTAGCCTGGGCCTGCCTGAAACTCTCTCAGCATCGCACCCAAGCTCAATTTCCCTTTCTGGTGGATCCTGCACACATTTACTGCTGCTACATGTTTCATTTTCCATTGCGTCAGCCCAAGGGCAGAGCTGCAAAAAGCTGATTTCAAAGAACTGCTCAGCTGAAGAACAAAACTCCTTGTGTCAGTCTCAGGCTTGGTAACAGGATTTCAGTGAAACCACAGAATGTAAGGAATATGTCACTGAAGACAATTCCATTTGCTGCTCTGAGAGTACAGGTATCCTTAAATGAGTTTGAAATGCCTGGTCTTGGGGAGGATTGTGTTCTTGTAATTAAAGGAGTGCACACAGGCAATAATGAGATAGATTACAGAAAACATCCAGATGCTGATAAGAGACAGTAACTTTCGTTTCTGGTTTTGTTCAGTTTCTGTGTGTCTGGGGCTGGCTGAGGCCAGTGGTATAATTGCATAGCAGCAGTTAAGGGAACTGTTTAAAGTCAAGCACAGAACTGTTTTCACTAAAATAAAGCAACCTATTTTAGGTTTTGRATTCAATAACTGATCAGAGAAGTTTGAAGTGGTTTCATTTTGATTGTTACAGGATGTGTGTGTAATTGTCTTACACTCCATAGCATTCCTTGTGTTTACAGCCACAGCTGTAAACTCTTTCCTGAACCTCGAGATACACAGTTGACAACACTGAATAAACTCCTACAAAACCATTTTATCATCCATCTCTGCACATAATCTCATTGGGACTGGATCCTTGTGCCAGATCTGGCATCAATTCTTTGGGTTTGAGCTTTTTTGTCTTTTTTTTTACTTTCTTCTGTTTTCAGTACTATGGAATTTGGTCTTCAGAAAAAGTCAAGTCGAGGGTCGTAGAGGTGATATTCAGTTGGACAGTCTGGTTTCCTCAGGAAGTCAAAATCCAGGATGCTTATCAGATGCTGAAGAAACAAGGTTCAGTTCTGTTATTTCAGTTTCCTTTTTAGCCTCCTAAGCCTGTGGTTTCCCCCACAGATATGTGCCCCTGTCAGCTTGTGACTCAGCTTTTTCATAACATGCTGTGTGTAAGGAAAAGGGACAAAGGCCAGGCTTCCCAGGCTGTTTGGGTTCTGAAGGATGTGTGGAACTCTTCAAAGGAATTTTCCAACTCCAATCTGGAGGCCTCTGTGTACAGTGAAAAAGTTCACACTGGGTACAGTGAAAAAGTACAGGACAAACTCAGAAATTATCTTTGTCCTGAAATACTCTCCCAGGGTTATGAGAGATTAGTTCAGAGGGATTCTGGGATGGAGTTTTCATCCATTACATTATATTTAGGAGTCCTTGGTGGTGTTTTAATCCAGAAATCTGTGTAAAACCTCATTCATGGTTGAGCATGGCTCAGCAGCTTGGGCATCACTGAACAACTACTGTTACCTCTTCCAGGGATTGTAAAAGAAGATCCCAAACTACCAGAGGACAAAATTTTACCTCCCCCTTCTCCAAGACCTCAGAATTCTATTTTTGACACAGATGAAGAGAAATCCAAGGTAAACCTTAGAGTCTTCATGCCCTGCCCTCAGTTTTGTACTGATGAGAAAAGAGGCTCAGTAATATTTTGGGAGCTTTGCTGTTTCAGATAGACTACCTCAGAATAATGCTTATACTTCCTGCAGTACAACAGATGGAGAACTCTGTGAGGCATTGTCAGAAATATTTGCTTAGTAAAAAGTGAACCTTTTTCACAGAAAAATATCAGTTTCTATGAAACCTCCTCAAGGGAGGGCTTCTCCAGGTCTTACAGAAGTTCTGCAGAGCCAGAGTTCTTAATCCTGAACAGCCAGTGTATGCAGGCAGCAGTATAACCTGAATTAGATTATGGGACAGGACCTAACATATTTCCAGGATTATAGGGCCGTTCCTGCAGCAGGTGTCTCTTGTGTGTGATGTGTGCCTGCAGAACAGTGCCCAGAGGCTGCTGCTCAGTGCTGTCCCATCTCTGCCCTGACAGCTCCTGGCCAGGCTCCTGAAGAGCAGCCACCCCGAGGACCTGCGGGCAGCCAACCGCCTGATCCAGAGCGTGGTTAAAGAGGTAGGAACTCTGGGGAGAAGTCTCTTTGCAGCCAGGGAGGGTGAGAGGGGACCTGGCCATTCAGTTTTTGACAGGAGACCCTCTGTACTGTAGCCCCAGAGGAAGGGCCATGTTCAGTCTTTCCAAATTATTCTGAGTTTACAGCACGGGATCATTTTGTTTTGTTTCCCTAAAATACACCATTGCCAGGAAGAGGGAATATGGATGTGCATACCCAGGAGCCTGTACAGCAGGACACTTCCATGTCAGTGGGACCTTGGCAGTAGTACTGCAGTAGTGATAGGAAATTTCCAAAAATAAACTCAGTTCCCAGGTKGAAGAAAGCCCCTTCTGTACAAAACTGCCTCTTCCCTGCGTGCAGTGGGTGTGTGCACATCTGGCCTATCTGTTTGCATGTTCCATCTGAAGAGCATCCCACTTCTCTGCTTACATARGAGATTTGGTTTAACAAAGCCCTGTGGTCATTTTGAGTGTGTCATTCTGTGTGGCAGAGGCCACCAACTCTCAGCTCCAATTTTGAAGTCACAYTCGTGCCCATGGTGAGATGAATTCCATATTCCACGGCACACAGCCAGGGTCCCCGGACAGGCACCTGTGCTGCTTTGTGCCTTCTCTGCCTACAATAAAATATTAATAGAAAGCAAATCCCCAGATGTGGCCCAGAGTGCTCCAGCCAAGCATGTGCACTGGCAGTATCAGCCAAATCATCATCTACCTTTATTTCATTTTTCACTGCAGGAACAAGAAAAATCAGCTCAGGTGTCCCGAAGAGTGAACGCCATCAGTGAGGTTTCTGAGAATGTCAAACGTATGGATGAGTTACTGGAGAACTACAGGAGACATGAATTATCCCCAGCTGACCAGGAGACCCTACAGGTAAATGCTCTTTTTCCTACATAAATGCTCATTTTCCTCCCTCTTCTAGAAGGAGCATCACTTGCAGGTGATTGTACAGACATGTGAGTGTGCCTGGGATGTCCTGAGCAATGAAACTCTCCCTCCCCAGGCTCTGCTCCAGCGCTGTGAGAAGCTCAGGCCRCTGCTCTTCCGTCTGGCCAACGAAGCGGTGGCTGACGAGGAGGCTCTAGGTAAGAGCCAACACTGTCCTKGTGGTTCTTGGCAGCTGTGACAGGACTGTGCCCTCCCATGGGAGGGGAGAGCTTGGCCACTTGCTACCTTGTGGGCAAAGCTCTCCAYTCTCACCATGAAACTGTGCTCAGTGGAAGTGGTACTGGGTCTGCTCCTGCTCATCTCTGAGAARGCTGTTTTCACTTGGAGCCCAGAGGTAAACAGTGAATCCATTCTTCCAGCTGAGGTGGTTTCCCTGATATTTTTTAGTTCTGATATGCAGAGAACTGAAGGCTTTTGAGGCCGTTTCTCTCCAGAGATTGAAGTTCTCCCTGTCTATAAATACAGAAAGAGGACTATATTTTGAATTTTCAAGTGTAATACCAAGGAWGGTGTCCTGATTTCAGCTAGGRTAGAGTTAATTTGATAAGAGCAGAATCTTTGAATTTCACAACTGGCATTTCATACCTGACCATATGCCTTGAAAACCTGATTGAGGCAATGGTTGCTGTATAGACATCTTAAACAGCAACCCYGAGAGCTTAACTGCACCTCGTACCTTCCTTTCATACCCATGGGTATCAGGGCCCTTCGGCTGGGGAGTGCTGGATTATAGACCCAAGTACACTGGGAAAACTTGTGGAGAACTAGGAAGTGCAGAAGAGATGGCAGGAATTAAGAATACTTTGGAGATGGGCTAAGATTTCAAAGTGATCTTGATAAATGAGAGAGAGGTCTGAAATCAGCAGCTGTGTGTGCAAAATKGAATGAAAGGAGAGTGAGGAGCTGWGGACAGCYTGCTCCRCTGGCCTTCGCKCCTGAGCTGCACTGTCCCTTCCTCATGAGCAGTCTGGGGACGGCGTGGAACTGAACTGACCTTCCCATTGGAATATGAGTGTGTTCTATCTTCTCTGGTTTCCCAGCTGAGATCCTGCAGGCCAATGACAAGCTCTCAAGTGCCCTGGGGCAGTACAGGCAGGTTGTGGCCAGCCAGGAGAACRGGGATGGAGCAGATTCAGCTGCCAATTCTGCCCATGCACCAGGTGAGGAGCACCTGCAGCGTCCCMTGGCAGCTCTGCCCTGCATGCCAGGTGGGAGCAGGGTTTGGGGGGAAGTGCTTCTCAGRGAATAAATGTGGAGAAAGTCCTATTACATGGAAAAAATACTATGTAACCATCATTTTCTTTTGCATATAGTTGACAGAAAATACTGCTGAAGTTCCTGACCTTTCAGGCACTCCTGTACCCATGGATGTGCCATTCCTTTCTGGAGGTTGCTCTCTAACTCTGTCTCTGTTCCCAAAGCAYGTCGAGCAGCCCCGCGGCGCATGAAGAGCTACACCCTGATCGACTTCTCYGAGCTGGAGGCCATGGCCCAGACTKCCCCAGAACCCTTTGCAGACACWCCCTCGGCCTCCCGCCACAGCAGCACAACCTCCACCTGCCTGCTCGAGGAGGATTTACAGTCCTTAGGTCTGTAGGTGCAGTCCAGTGTCACCCTTGTTACTGGGGTTTGTGGTATTTAATAGAGAGAAGAACCTTGACTTCAGTGTCAGTGCCAAGAGAAAGTAGAGCCTTCAAGACGTAGGTTTGCAGGGATGCAGTRTCTTTAGTGGTGTCAGATTGTAGCCAAACTGCTGTTAGACAGCAAAGGAAGAACCTGTGGAAAACCCGTTYGCTGTAAATTATATGTGATATTTTGGTATCTTTCTTAGGTCTCAGCAGCTCCCCTGTCATTTGGAAACCACCACCTGATTTTGACCTTGCAGAGGTGAGTGATGCTCAGATACTTTGCAGTCTATAACGTGTAAAGGACAAAAATCAGAGCTGAGTTCCTGGTCTGGCTTTCCCTGGCAGCCTTTTTGGTGTGCCACTCTGTTCTGAAGGGAAACTTGAATTCTCTTGCTCTCAGTTAATCTTTCAGGTGCAGTTGGCACCCAAATGACTCATCTATTTCTGCTTTAGGCAGTGGCATTATAAACAAAGTTCTTTTCAGTGGAACAGGTTTATTTTTGCAGATATTATATAGAATGAACTCAAAGTGCCTTATTTTCCAGCCTGCTCTACACAATGGATTTAGGGAAGGTGCAAGTGCTCAAACCTTGGGACCACAGSAGAGCTGGGAAGACAGCTGTGCAGGGAAAAGTGAATTCCAGAGCCTGGATGAACAGCTTTCTCCACTATCCAGGACCAAGACATTCTCTTTGTAAGCAAACTTCACATGATAGAGTCAGATTTTGGGGCTGAGGAWTTTTTTTACAGTAGAGAAGTTTAGGAAAATCTTTCAGCTACCCCTGGTTAGTGATGGCAAGTGATCCATGCACACATTGGCTCTTTCTCAGTTGTGCATCTGTTGTTGCACTTYGTGTAACTGCACACCAGCACCTTCCAAGGGTCAGAAATTTGGGGAGACAAATCCCATCGGTTGGTAACCAAGTGATGTTGAGCTAAAAGAACAAAAACCCTACAATCAGGCCTTTTTATAATAACCTGTCTCTCAAAAAATACTTTCCTCAGCTTTCTCCACACTACTGACAAAGTAGTTTCAAGGCATTCAGTGGAGGCTTGGAACAGTTCACAAATCAAATTTATCTCCACAGATCTTCAAAGCAGRGGACTATTAGGATATGCTTATATAGTCTGCCATAATACAAGAAATTTTACTGAAGATTTCCAGCTTCTTGTGATGTCTTTGAGCTGGAATTTACTTTAATCTCCCTGACTAGGGCTTCAGAGAAGCTGTGCACAGGGAGAGAAAACTTACAAAGCCCTAAAACTAAGTTTTACTAKAGTAACAGAACCAAAGTCTCCCTTAATGAATTTTGAAACAGCAAGATCTTCCATAGATGATAGAGTTTTTTAATTTCTCAAGAACTCTGAGTGTAAACCTGTAGTTTTTTTATACCTAAAGGGGATGAGGGATTGAGAATACAGACAGACACAGCAGAAGACAATATATTTCCTGCAGTATCCCCAATTAATACAAGCTTTCTGCGTGTTTTTTTTTTTCCAGGGATTTATCACCAATGAAACTGCCCTTTCCAGATCTTCCAAAAAACTCAGTGGCAGATCCTCCACTCCTCAGTCCAGGCTACGAGCTGAAGCCTACTGCCTCTTTGCATCCTGCTTCCTATGATGCTTCTCTAGAAAACCTTTTTGTCCCTTTAATTTCAGTTACACCGAGTAAGTGAATTCTGTCCCCCAGCTCTGCTTACTAGAGCTCTTATGACTTTTGCAGGACAGCAAGCCAAAGTAGCTTCATGCTGTGTGAGTTGGCTTGAGGCAAATAATGACTGTTCTGTGAAGGGCTTAATGTACCTGAGAAGGTGYTAGGGATCATAGCATGGCAATGTCCTTATCCTCCCTACTCGTTACTCAGGAGTTTGCTGCCCTAGCTAATCTTTGTAATATGCTTCTAAACTTTCTGTCCTTTGCACCTTCAGTCAAGCTTCAAACAGTTCTTCTACCTGGCCCTAAAAGACATTTGTGAGTGGGAGTTGCTCCAGTTCCTAAAGCAGAGCTGTTCATTCCACCTCTGCTTTCTGGTTTCTCGCTGTATGACCCAACTCTGCAGCCCCTCCCCGGAACATTTCCTGGCCATGTGCCACCCTGGGTTCTCAGGGCCACAGAGCTTTGGCTCTTGTTGCTGCTGGAAGAGGACAGGTGCACAGACATCCTGATCTGCCTTCAATCTCAAGTGAAGGATTTAGCAGATTTTGGAAGGGCTGGATGGTGATAGTCAGGTGTGAATTGGCCAGGCATGGATGGTAAGGGGCCAAATCTTGTGTCCACTAAGAAAGGCARTTTGCTTTTCCCACCAWAYYTCTKTTGGATCTACACCTGACTTCTCTCRCTGACTGGTSAAATCTGAGCTGCYAAATCYCCAATGCAGACATACAGATTCCTGTCTCTGCCTTAGAGGCAGATGTGAATCAGGGGCAGGTTCTGTGTGCTGCTTGGTCTGTGAGTTTGCTGAAGGAAGTAAAAGTTTGTCTGCATTTTCCTTTTTTCTGTTCCTTGTCCCCATCTCTCCTGTTCGCCTTTGGATGGGCGAGGAATCCAAGCTTTGATTCTGATTCTCGTTTTGTCTCTGGCAGGCACTATCTGTCCACTCACTGTGTATGATAGGAATGGTTTMAAGGCCATGCTCCACTTCTCCAGGGACCCAGCTCCTGGCCGGCCAGATGTGCTGGTGATGGTTCTATCCATGCTGACCACCTCACCTCACCCCATTAAGGACATAGTGTTCCAGGCTGCAGTCCCAAAGGTGAGAAGCCTTTGGCAAAGTAGCAGATATGCTCAGAAATGTACTGAGGAGAAGGTTCACCATTCCTTGCTGAGTATTTGCCTTGCTCATGGGAAACTGTGTGGCTCCCTTTCTCTGCATGGAGAACCTGTCATACAGTAGTGCCTGTGGCTTTGGTGTCTGTTTCACAGTGTGTATCCATGGCCTTGCTGCAGCCAGAGAAGGCTCCAGATCTGCTCCTTCAGCCTTCTGGGTGGGGCTCTGTGCTGCCTGTGCATGGGTGGCATAGAATTGGCTGTTTAGGAATATCTGCCTTTAGGTGCAGGCTGTGCTTTCACTGATTCACAGTCTGGCTGATGTATCTTTAACTACTCCAAGGCTCGGTAATGCTCCCAGCCCTTGCCCAGCATGGACTATAAAGTGTTTCTTTTGTTTTCTCTTTCAGACCATGCAAATAAAGTTACAACCAGCCTCTGGTTCTGAGCTGCCAGCCTTCAACCCTCTCCTGCCGCCTGCAGTGGTGTCCCAGGTGCTGCTGCTCGCCAACCCACTCAAGGTGCTGCTGATGGGCCCTGGCAATCCCACTGGGGTGTTTGCATGAGAGATGGGGAGAGTCTTAATAATGGAGAGATGCAGGGGGTAGACAGGGCAATCTGGGCTGCTGTGCTGGGCAGATGTTTGTCCTGCTAGAAGAGCTTTCCAGAGCTACAGTCTGAAGGATTGTGTGGGCAGTTGCTGCAGGGGCCCACACAGTTCTGGACCATCTCTGCACAGATACAGATTCAGGCACTCACTGTGCAGGTGTTGGCAGCTGGTGGAACACAAGGGTACTCAAGGCACAAGCGATGGCTGGCAKATCTGTTGCATTGGTGGATAATTATAAAACCCAAGATTGGGGTAAGGAACCCTCTGTCTCTGAGAAGCTTGGCCAGGCCTGGATTGCCAACATGCCYTTGGGTGGCTTGCACGGGTCTCCCAGTTGCTCTTGTCTATTTTAGGAAGATTCAGTGTTTCCTTCTGTGCAGGGCTTCTGCAAGGCTGGTGTTTTCCCTTTCAGAGGTGACTCCCTGCTGCAAGGCTGTTAGGGATTAGGGAGTCCAGGAGTTTATAATCTAGGAGTCCAGGAGTTTATAATCATGGTGTACCCCTCTTCCCTTCTCTCCTAGGATCCCATCCGACTGAAGTACAAACTGGTGTTCACGCAGGGCGTGCAGCCCTTCAGTGAGGTGGGAGAAGTGACAGAYTTTCCAGAAGCAGAGCTCTGGGGCAGGAGCTGAAGCCCAGCTGGCTCGGACACTGCCATGTTGCCTTAGCCACGGATGGGGAGGGACTGGGGGCCAGCAGTGCTGGCCAGCACTCTGTAAGGGCACCATTTCTCAGGATCTGCCACCTTCTTYTTCCTTTTCGTGCCTAGCAGGAGTGTCAATTAGCTGCTTCTGCCTCAGCCTTTCCCTGTAGCTGAGCCGGCTTTACAGGAGCCTGCTGGAGAGCCCCGCCGCCTCGGTGCTTCTGCCACGCACACCTTTCCTGCTGCTTTCTGGGCCATTTCCCCTTTACTTTTTGAATTAAAAAAAAAAAAAATACTCTACACCAGCATTCGGCCCCTGTGCCAGCCTGCCTGGGGGCAGGGCAGCGCCTGTTCCAGGGACACCGGGACACCCCCGGCCCGTTTTCCCGGGGTTTGTGCCGAGGTGCAGCGGGAGCTGAGGGGCGGGGGGCGGTGGGCAGCGGTACCGGGGTGCGATGAGAGGCGGCAGCGCCGCGCTCGGGGCCGGGCGGGCACACGGCTTGGCTCGGGCCTGCCCCGCTGAGGGGGCCGGTAACCGCCGGGGCTGCGGGACGCGACCGCCGCTGGGCACAGACCCGCGGGACGCGGCTTTCGGGGGCCACCGGCCCGGGACCGCCTTCGGGACCGCCCTGCGACCGCCCCGGGACCACCCCAGGACCGCCCCGGGACCGCCCCGCCACAGCTCCGGGTCCGCCCCGGGTCCGCCCCGCGTTTCCGGGTGCGCGGCGGGGCCGGGCCGCTACCGCTCGGTCTGTCCCCCGCTGTCCCCCCGCCGTCCCGGCCGTGACGATGGATTTCTCTCGGTTCCTGTCGGACGAGTTCGAGGTGAAGGGCTGGGTGAACGCGGCGTTCCGCGCCGTGCAGCAGGAGGCCCCGGGCAAGGTGGACGCCCACGCCGCCACGCTGGTGATGAAGCTGCAGCTCTTCATCCAGGAGGTCAACAACGCCGTGGAAGGTGTGGGGCCGGGCAGGGGGCTCTGCTGCTGCGGGATTGTGTGGGGTCGGATCGGTGTGGGGTGTGCGGGCCCGGTTCAGCTCTGCCCGTGTTCTCCTGGTATCTGTGTATCCCTCTGGATCGCTGAGGAGCACAGGGCGCGATGGGCAGACCTGTGCAGGTTGGCATCACGGCCTGGACAACCTTACCAGGGACAAAGGAATCCTCACACACATCTCGGGACTCGTAGTTATTTACCAACACATCTGCCTTAAACGCTGAGAAACAGCAGCTCCTGCCAGCACTGGGTTAGATGGGATAATAGGGGAAATTTATTTTTAAAAAGGGTTGCCCAGCCTTGGCACAGGCTGACCAGGAGAGTCCCTGGAAGGATTTAAAAGCTGTATTGATGTGGCACTTGGGCAMATGAGTTAGTGATGGCCTTGGCAGTGCTAGGAGAACAAGACTGGCTTGTTGGGAACAGTTGGACTTGATGGTCTCARAGGGCTTTTCTAAATGATTCCACATACTCAAGTACCTACTCAAAATTAAAAGATGTAGCTGAAGATTTGTTGTTTGATGTTTTGCTTTGTTGTCTAGTGTTGGGTTTTTTACATACTAAAGATTAGATAAGATTATTGAAAGACTCACCTGTTCCTACAAGGGCTTTTACCCATCCTCACTGACTGSTCCATGTCCTTGCAGAAACAAGCCATCAGGCTCTCCAGAACATGCCCAGAGTCCTCCGGGAAGTGGAAGTCTTGAAACAGGAGGCAGCATTCCTTAAGGAGCAGATGATCCTTGTTAAAGAAGATATAAAGAAGTTTGAAGAGGACACAGCTCAGTCCATGCAGGTCAGATCTTGTCTTTGTGTTTATCTGCAACTTGTGAAATTCTAAAAAGGTTTTAGGGTTGCTAATATGAAATAATCTTGTGAACTCAAGATAGACAAAACCAATTCTTGTAACACTGGTAATGGAAGGATGGGTGTGACACAGACCTGTGCAATATGCATGTCCTGGGGAGCAGCTGCTCAGGTGTTGGTTCAGAGCTGCTGGTACCTGACTGGGGACACTGGTTTCTGCCTGGAGTGCAGAGCATTTTCAAGCAAAGTGGATACTAAGAGTACAAGACCAGAATTCAAACTAACCTAAACTAACCTTCTGTTATTTGACTTCAAGAGATCATTTTACATGTCTATCTAGCTCCTTCAAACCATTCCTTCTTGTAATAACATAAACTTTTCATACCTTTTTTTTTAAATTGGAGCAGAAAATAACTCCCAAGTATCTGTGACAGTCATATTTTGTTTCAGTGGGGAACATAATATTGTGGTTTYTTTCTTCAGGTCCTGGTAGAGATTGACCGAGTGAAGTCCAGGATGCAGTTGGCTGCCGAGTCGCTTCAGGAAGCAGACAAATGGAGCACACTAAGTGCAGATATTGAAGAGACACTTAAAACACAGGTAAACACTGAACTATTTGGTCTCTGTGCCTCCAGCTTTTCAGGGAACTGTGTTTAAAAGTTGGATTTTGAAGTAACTGTGAAACATGTCYCTGGTGCTGATGCTGTCTGAGGTCACCATTGGTAACAGGCTGCCTTTCCCTGCTGGCAGGACGTGTCCCTGATTTCAGCCAAGCTGACGAGCATGCAGAACAGTCTGGCCATGCTGGTGGACACGCCGGATTACTCAGAGAAGTGCGTGCACCTGGAGGCACTGAAGAACCGGTTGGAGGCCATGGCCAGCCCTCAGATTGTTGCTGCTTTTAACTCCCAGTCTGTAGGTGAGCAGCTCTTGGTGTCATTTACTATCAGCACAGAGTTTATTGCCTTTGAAACGGTGTTTGGGTGGAGAGTTGATGTCCTGAAGGCTCCCGCCGCTGGGTCGTGAGCTCCTCCTGGTGGAGCAGATGTCCTGGAATGTTTTGGGCTCTGCAGCTGCCTGCAGACCAGTGCTGCTTTCACTTTCTTACCRTTTGGGGTACTTGTGGCCACTGCAGGAAACAAGAAGATTACAGGCTGGTTTTATGGGTCATGTGGATAAGCGAGACAGAGGTGCTGCTCAAATAAGCAGAAAGGCCCTGGTTTTCTGTTGTCATGGTGGTGTTGGGCATTGCTGTTACAGTTTGGTGGTGCAATCAGGAAGGAAATTTGTTTGGAAGTGTTCTGACTTCCTACTACTTTGTGAAAGCAACTTTATAAATTCTCCTTAGAGAATTTGTCTTTTTGGGCAGTTCCTTATGCTCTTCCTTCTCTGTGTTGCTGTCAGTGCTTCTGAAAAGTARCTGTTGTGGTTGTTGACACTCACCTTTTTGCACCTTGAGGTCCTGGAGGGATCTGGGGCTGGGTCTGGGTTACAAACCAGACTTTTGAGGAACCTGTGTTTCTAAGCTCTGTGCAGGAGCAACTGTGCCATGAGTCAGTCTGAGGCACAGGGGTCTGTTTGAGGACAGGTGAAAGCAAAGCTGAGGCCTTTGTCAGGTATRCATTAGGTTTGTAAATGCTGGCTTGTTTCTGGAAACTAATTATTTCCTTCTAGGAAAAGCTCTGGCTTTATCTGGCTTTAATACTAGATGTATTAATACTATGTGGTGGTTAAGAAGTTAAATTTATTCCTTGTGTCTGCTGCCTGATCTTGTTTGAGGATGGATTTTAGGCAGTTCTGCTCCTGTTTGAGAAGATATGCAAACAAGAGATGAAGTTGTCTCTYTCTGTGTAGACCATTGTCCCTGCTCCCTTGGTAGAGGATTTCTTTCTCAGACTGATGTCTCACCCTCAGCTTTGAGGCTGATCCTGATGSCTGTTATTTTGTTTTGTTTAGATCAGGCAAAAATGTTCGTTAAAGTCTTCACTGAAATTGATCGGATGCCCCAGCTTCTTGCTTATTATTATAAGTGTCACAAGGTAAGTGTTTTGGTAACATTTTAACATAGAGAAATAAAAATCAGAATTCTTGCTGGGCTCTGACTGCAGAGGGAGCTGCTGCCCCACGGATCTCAGCTGTCCTGTTGTGGGGGATGGCGCCTATTCCTCTGCATGTTTCCTTCTTTGACTTCTCTTGCTGGMTCTGACCAGCTTTGGTAACTCCCCATGTTTCAGGAGTAATTCTTGTGTCCCGTCCTGCAGCAGACACAGGATATGTGTGTTCTGCTTGATTTCTCTGTGCCTCATGGCTTTGCTTTGCTTTCTGTGKATGTGGCTAAAGTTACTGTGCAGTAACTTTATTACTGCAACTTGCCAGTTGATGAYTTCTGTAAACTCTTTTCAGGCAAGATTAAAAGTTGGAATTCCAGACAGTTCTGTAGCCATAACCTGAGCTTCAAATTTCTCACATGACTGTGACTTTTGGGGATTAAGTTCAAGGCTGGAGCTTGCCAAGTATTTCAACTATTATGTGGGGGTATCAGTTGCAATCTCATTTTATGAGTAAAATACCAATGTTAATTAAATCTTYGAATCACTAAGAAGCCTCAAGCTTCATGCTGAAAATCTTTTCCTTCTGTKGTGCTGAATTATATGTTACGCTGAAATGTGGAGAGGGGAGCCAGGGTGAGCCTCACGTTTTGGCACAAGTGCTGTGCRTGGGGAGTGCTGGGGTTGGAACAACAAAAACAAGACCTGTGGCCTGTCAGTTTTCCTCTCAGATGGTTCTGTTCYCCATCAGGTGCAGCTGGTGGCCGTGTGGCAGGAGCTTTGCCAGAGTGACTTGAGCTTGAATCGCCAGCTGACCGAGCTGTAYGACACCCTGCTGGGGACCTGGCACGCCCAGCTCCAGTGGGCAGCACAGGTGAGGTGACAGGTTCATGCTGCTGCAGGAACAGGAGAGGACAGGMTGGGCACCCTCCCATTCTCACAAAGCTCTGAAGAGCTCATGGCTACTYGCCCTGAGTTACACTCTGTGCCTGATTGGTGCAAGATGGGATTTGCAACCCACTTTCTGTTCCTCGTCCAGCCCTTGCAGACAGGRTTTGAGCTCTGGTGTTCCACCAACAGCAAGGTTGCTGTGTTATTGACATTAAAGCTGCTCTATCACTTTCATCTGTATCTTAAGTTAAAACTAATTTGTTGGTGTTGCAAATGTGTTCTGTTGCAAGAGATTTGAAATGCCTGAATTGCTTTATCAATTGGCCTGGAGGAAGCCCTCAAGGTCACATTGGACTGATGCATGCAGCTCTGTGTAAGATATCTGAGGGCTTCCGTTGTCACCCCTTGGAGKCTGTGTGCTTGTTTTTCCTGCCAAAAATAATGTAGGATCAAAAAAAGTTTTTGTCCTTTAGTAAAATGCAGAAATAAGTTCATATTGTCGAGCCTGTAAGAGTTTTTCATCCATGAAGGGTAAGAGATTCTTATCTTCATGTCACAAAGCCAGTGTCAGTGCAAGGCCTGTGCTGCAGAGGAGCTCAGTGTTTCCTTGAAATGTATTTTTTCTGCCTGATGATTCGATGTGACTTGCAGGTCAGATGTCAGGTTACATTTTAGCAGATAT